GGGGGGAAAGGGGGTGGTCCCCACAATACGCATGCGTAGAACCGGGCGCGCGGCGCCAGGGGCAGAGCGGAGCCGGCGAGGCGGAGCCAATGTGCGGCGGAGCCAGTGCGCGGAGCAGAAGCCCTGGCGGCCCCACTGCGCTCGCGCCGGCACGCCCCCTCGCTGCCGGCCAATGGGCTCTCAGCACCCGCCCCTGACGACGCGGGCCCCGCCCCTTGGAGAAGCGCCGCGGCCTGGTGGACGGCCTCCGTGGTTAGCTGGCTGTTTGAGAGCTGGGCCGGGTTGAAGCCTTCGGGCGGCCCGCCGTCATGAAGCTGACGCGGAAGATGGTCCTGTCCCGGGCCAAGGCCTCGGAGCTGCACAGCGTGCGGAAGCTCAACTGCTGGTGAGGCCCAGAGGCCGGGGGCCGTCCCCGCGTGTCCTCCCCGCTGCTCGGCACCCCCTTCCCGGGACCCCCTCCCTGGGACAGGGCTGGGAAGAGCCGTCTAGGAATGGAGACCCCTGCCCAGCACCTCGGCCCGGGAGCGGGGACCCCAGCCCGCCCCCTCTGCTCTGGGGCGGGACCGAGAAGGGCCTGCGGAGGATGCAGAGGGGTTCGGGATGGGGGGGGCGCCTCTGGCCTCACCTTCCTGGCCCCTGTCCAGGCTGGTGTGCCGGGTCCCAGGGGCTCACAGCCTCTGGGAGGTGATGCCATAAGCTCAGGGGGCCTTCGGGGAAAGGTCGTTTCAGAATTTTCACTCCTGAGCAGTGGTATTTCACACACAGCTCCAAAGCTGCCCTCCTTGCTGGAAACAGTTGGAATTACCTTGAAGACTGGTTCTTGGACTTCTAGGTAGTTTTAGTGGGCAGACGTTTCCCTCTGTGGACAGGTCTCATTTCTGACATTGCCAGCAGTCCCTGGGAGCCAGGCCTGCTGATAAGGTGGGAGATCAAGGTGATTGACACCCTTGCTAGGGGAAAGAAAGGAAACAGACTCTAAAGTGATGTTTCAGTAAACATTTTTGTAATTGAGCTCGGGGGGGGGGGGG